GTGCATCCATTGATGCTAAGTCCTTATTTTGGCAAAGAAATGTCACCAGCTGGGCAGTGGGATGAATTTTGTTGACCATCGAGCTGCCCTGAAAGATAACAGAGCACAAAAGACAGCTGTAATTATCTGTACCTTAAAATTATGTGTACACGTGCATATTTATGTACGTCTGTATACGTGTACGGGGAAACCAAGCGTGTCTAACTACTTGAATCAGTTAGGACTCGCTGTTGCAGGGGGCAGAAAACCCAGTCCAAACAGGCTTAAATAAAAGAGGCGTCCATTAGGTCATGCAACTAAAAAAGTCCAGGCCTAGAGTCAGGGTCCATTTCCTATTCTGCCTCCTCTTCAGTAGTTCCATGACTGAGCTCAGCACCGTCAGACCCGACCTCTTCCTTCACACAGCTCTGCTCAAGCCCGAGCCTGGGGTTGTCTCCTTGATCTGTGTGTGCTGGCTCTGGGTGTCTCTGAACCTGTCAGTGGCCAGGGTCCCTGGGAAAATTCTGAGGTGGTGTGAACGTCATCTGCAGCCCAGAGAGTTAGAGCTGCTTCCCCTAAAGTTTAAGGATTGCTGTCTCAGGAAAAGAATGGACACTGAGGGGCAAGCGAAGGAACCTGACGGCCTTTGTTCCCAGTCCTTCTCTGACTGTGTAGAGCCATTCTCCAAGGCAGAAGGCAGAATCCTCAAACAGTGCAGGGCCAGGCAGCTCTTCCTGAGCAGTTTGTTTTAAAGCCCTGTCTCCCTCATTTTGGGACAATCAGAATCCCACTGGCTAGTTGATTAACTCATCTGTTCTGTTAGGAGAACATTTACTGAGCCCCTGCTTTGTCAGGCTTTCAGCTGACACTGGAGGCACAGTGACGAGATGATAGCTGTGCTTTGAGGGAGCTCCAGGAAGGAAGCATCACTACAATATGATGTGGCGTGCATGAACTGAATTCACAGCAACAAGTGATTTCACTCATTGGGTGGTGCATGTGGCAGGACTTCATGGAGGAGATGGCCTCTGCTAGAATTTGGAAGAGTAAATGGAAAGATGCCAACCCTTCAGGCATAGAGAATAGGTCCTGTGAGCATTTTCTGACGTGATATTTTACCAAGGGACTGCATGTCATCAGGAGGGCCAGCAAGTCAAGTTCCTGGAGGAATGACAGAAGGAAGGCAAAGCCTGGAGACATGGCAGGGTCCAGACTGCAGAGGCCCAAGTATGACTTGCAGGCCAGTGTTAGGAGTCTGCATTTGATAATGAAGACTCTGCATGCTGGAGAGAGGTTAGGAGCAGATGAGCGATAAGGTCCCATTTATATTTTAGGATGTTCTCGGCCGTTGAGTGGATAGACTCGAGGTGGGGTAGAGGCAGGGAGCCCCGCGAAGATGAGGGCTGAGGCTCTGCATTGAGACCTTGGCAGTAGTAGTGCAGAGGATGGGCCAGCTGAAAGGTGGTTAGAAATGTGACACCAACGATGTCATGGTTGGTCTGGACATGGGGAGTGAGGGACAGGAAGCTGCTGGTTTCTCAGTTTCAATCTTTTAGAAGAATTTTTCCAGAAAGGCACTGGAAGAATAGAGGCAGAATTGTAAATCTCTGCTTATCCTTCCGGGAAAGAAACTACGCCTTTTGAATGCTAAGGACACAATGACTGAGCTAGAACTCAGAGACAGTGTGGTCCTGGCCAGACTCCTGTGGATAGTTCAGTCGCGTAGCTGTCCATGCCAGGTGGATCTGCAAACTGCCAGGCACACTGTCACCCTTTTTGTGCCTGTAAACAGTTGAATTGTTCTAATTAGTTTTTCCTTCCTGAGAAAAGGGAATCTCTTGACCCCTTAGGCATTTTGACTGTTCTCTTAAAGTATAAAGGAGTCTACATAAAGGATTCTTTATAACTGGTCTTTTGGTAAGAAGATTCTAAACTATACAGTTAAAAACAACATGGGATACTCTGTTATTTAACCACTAGTGTCTATACCCATAACCTTACTATAATAGTTGATTTAAAACATGTCTATGTGTTTTGGAAACAGTGTGAGAGCACAGTACGCTCACGTTATGTATCCACTTTGCCACTTAGTCCAGAACTGGGACATCTCTTAGAATAGGCTTCACTTTCCGCATAGCTCCAGAACATCATCCCCCTCCCATAAACAAATACTCAGTCATGTAAGCTGCTATTTTGTTTTGTTCAAGGTAATAAACTTTTAAGATGACTGTTTGGGGAAAAGCAGCTACCGGTTAGCAATTGCTCCCGAATCTGCACAACAAGTTTAGGAGAGTTTTATTCTTTGAAACACATGAGATGGTTTGGGAAGGCAGGTGTGTGCGTCACACAGCAGGCTGCTCTGTGGTCACAGCTCCGTCAGACTGTTGTTTCTGCCTCTGCCTGAACCCAAACCCCCTCCCAGCCGGACAGAAGTGTTCGCTTATGCAGCTAGCCCTGCCTCAGTTTATACCACATCTTCTACCTGTTGGCTGAGACATTGGATGTTGATGTCCATGTCAACTTCTGGGCACCCCAATATGATGTTCCCTCCAATAGCCAGTGAAGGAGACAACTTCAAGGTTACATAAGAAAAAAATGCACATTCCTCGTGAAACTAACATGTGCCCACTGCTGCTTAATTTTGTGCTGTGCATTATACAGTCCCAGCTTTCCTTACAGTTGTCCACAAAGTGTCCTTTCTCACTGTGATCTTACTTTAAGCACCTCCTGTCTGGCGGTGTCCTTGGTCACCTGTTTGTGTCTTTGTGCCTTTGCATAAAGGGTGTGAGACCTTCCTGCCCTTCCCCACGTTGCTTTCAGCATGTGGAATTTTGTATTTACCCCATTTTTGTGCTTCCAAAACCTTTTAGTTGCCTGTCCATCAAGTATGCCTGCGTGTCCTTTATTCCTTTCGTATTGGCACAGTTCCCTGTGTGTAAGCAATTTGAGAGGGAAGCAAAGGGGAAAAGCTTCAGTCAGCCATTCCCTGTCCTATAATTTCCTTCTATTAACCTTGTCATTAAAAATATATATGTACTATTCCCTTAAACTCTAGGAGGCTTTGTGTCATTGTATACTATTCTTTTGCTACCCTTTCCCATTTAACTTACCTTTATCTCCTAAGCCCTATAAAATACCACTTGGATCTGGACTGATTTTACGTGATTTTCTCCACTGTGTGTGATAGATACATTGTGATTGTGAACTTTTCGGTGCTGTGTTTTAAGAGTCTTTTATTTTCTGATCTCCACAGGACTCTCCCTCGGGAGAGAAGACGAGCCCCGTCAGCCAGGATTCCCAGTGGAAGCTCCCCGGGTGGAGTCCCCTTCGCTGCTGGCACGTCCATGGACACAGCAGCACGTGGGCGGCCGCAGGACCAGCGACCTGCTCCACCTGACCGCCCGCCTGCCCCTCCCGCCCTAGCCCGTCGCTCTGCCCCATCGCCCCTTCCCGTGTCAGTGAGAAGGTCCATGTTCTCCTGCTTCTGTTGCTGCGCAACATCTGATTAAACATCAATAGACGTTTGTTAGGCATAGATGGCTTTCAAATGAGCATGTCAGTGAAATTAACAATTTATAAAGAAAATATCGATCTACCTTTCTTATTTGGAGAAGTCAACTTTAATGAGGGTCAGATTCTCGCTGATCCTCTGTGCCACGCTCCTGTGCCTCGCAGGTCTCACCGCCACCTTCTGGCCCATCCAGATGCACAGGGCCAGGTGGAGCAGCCTCTTGCTCTGTGGGCCAAAATCCTTCCTTCTCCACAGTCCTTGGACCATTTCCAGTCACAGGGAAGGGACCAAAGCGTTCCTGCCTCCCCTTCTCGCCCTGTTTTTCCTGGTGCATTTGTTGAACTTAACTATTTGGGCAAAACAATGTCAGCAGCTGGGCAGGGGGATCGGTTTTGTTGACCCCTGACCTG